ACTAAAATGCCTCCTTAGGCAGAGCACAGCAGCCAGGTTCAATCCCAGCCGGCCCCACCCCTGCCCTCAGGGTACACTGAGACAGCGATAGAGACTGGGCGTGGTGGTACACACCTATAATCGCAGCACTTGGGAGGCTGAAAACAGGAGAATCACTACTAGTCCATTTTACATAGTGAGACCCTGTAGACCCTGTAGACTCTGTATTAAATCATAAAAAACAAGAAGGGGATGTTGATGGGCGCAACTCCCACATCCATCCCCACTCTGTGAGAGGCTACCAAGGAGAGATGGGATTTATGATATGAGGGTGAGGGTAGCCTAGGCTCACCACTGGTTCAACGTGTGGTAGTGCTCCAGGATGGTTACGGAGGCCTCTTTTCTCTAGTAGGAATGACCCTGAGAGCTGCCGTGTATTGTCTGCTCCGTCTCTGTTTCACACTTGGCTAGGCACTTGGTTCGTTATCTCACTGAATGTTCACATTAGCCCAGGCACTAATGGGTTGCCTAGAGTCACACTAACTGGGAAGTGGCAGACTCAGGACTAGACCCAGATGGTCTGGCTCTGAGCCTGCAGCTCTTGACACTGCCCTCCCCTGACTTCCTGTCTCTGCTGTTCAGGTCATTACTTTCCCACCCTGCCTGCACCTGTGTTTCCGGTGCCATTTGTGACGGTACTGCACTGGCACTATGTGAAACAGATGAATGTCTATCCTCCTTTTTTAGTGATGCAGAGCTGTCGTGGGCATCCAAAGTCATTGGTTAGCCTGCACCAGCCTTTGGGCCCTTGTCCCTCACAGCATCTGGACGGATGCAGCTCTTCTTGCTCTGACCACCACATTTTGGCCACCTCTTCCTGGCAGATGCTTCCCTTTGTCCTCTGGAGGCCCTGCCCTCCCACATGGCCTTCCTGCCCAGGGAGCTGCTGCACTTCTGCCCCTTCAGCTGTGTGATGGTTCTCCTCCCTCCTCCAGGCACTTGGGCTGCCTTTCTCCTAGTGGCCCTGAGCAACCCTGATGTGTCAGAGTTGGGGAAGAACTGGAGGTGCTGACTCTTACTACTCACTGTTCCCAGAACAGTATGTGAGGTTTTACTGCTGGAGCACTGCAGTTTGTATTCAAAGTCATGGAACAGGATCCCCCTCTGGAGATTAGTGGGATCATTTGTGGGCTGAGGGGGCTCAGGCTCTACCTGCCCCTCCAGTTGCTATAGACAGACCTATTCAAACCCTGGCTGTGGATTCAATCCTGGATTCCTCCTGAAAACCTGACCTGTCCCAGGGTTAGATTTGTTTATCTAAAGAGGAAT